ATGCACTTCACTCTGGATGAAGCCACATGGTCCAACTACTCTGGGACTGGATTTATGGGCTGCAACCACCCTGTTTCCTAACTCCATTAACTAGACCAGCCCCATTGAGTCACTTAAATACAACTTCTTTCAAACAAAGCATTATTTATTCTTTTACGCAAAAGGTAGAGCAGTTTTTACTCGTAAAACAGTTTTTAAACTCAAGGCTGGGGGAAAGCCGACATGTGTGGAGGAGCACGTGCTTCGGAGAGAGACATCCCTTAGGGGAGGATCTATTAATGGAGATTCTCTATGTCCTAGTAAGGAGGAGAGGATGGAAGATGATAAAATACAGGTAGCATCTGATGAGAAAGTCAAATGAAAAAAGTCCCATTCAATTCCATCAAGTAATGGCAGACAGCTAAAAAGTGACAAGTTTTTAAAGTGTTTATATACCAATGCTAGAAGTCTAAACAATAAGATGGGTGAACTAGAGTGCCTAGTATTAAATGAGGATATTGGTACAATAGGCATCACAGAAACTTGGTAGAATGAGGATAATCAATGGGACACAGTAATACCAGGGTACAAAAGATATCGGAAGGACAGAACAGGTTGCTCTGCTGGGGGATATAAAAGAAAGCACAGAATCAAATGAAGTAAAAATCTTAAATGAACCAAACTGTGCCATAGATGGATAGGGATAGTAATCCTATGCTCTAATAAGAATATAGCAGTAGGGATATATTACTGACCACCTGACCAGGATGGTGACAGTGACTGAAACACTCAGGGAGATAATAGAGGCTATTAAAATAAAAAACTCCATAATAATGAGGGATTTCAACTTTCCCCATATTGACTGGATACCTGTCACCTAAGGACAGGATGAAGAGATAAAGTTTCTTGACACTTAAATGACTGCTTCTTGGAGCAGCTAGTCCTGGAACCCACAAGAAGAGAGGCAATTCTTGATTTAGTCCTAAGCGGAGCACAGGATCTGTCCCAGAGGTGAATATAGCTGGACCACTTGGTAATAGTGACCATAATATAATTAAATTTAACATTCCTGTGGCGCAGAAACCACCACAGCAGCCCAACATAGTAGCATTTAATTTCAGAAAGAGGGACTACACAAAAATGAGGAAGCTAGTTAAATAGAAATTAAAAGCTACTGCACGAAAAGTGAAATCCCTGCAAGCTGCATAGAAACCTTATAAAGACACCATAACAGAGGCTCAACTTAAATGTATACCCCAAATTAAAAAACTAGTAAGAGAACCAAAGTAGTGCCACCGTGGCTAAACAAAGTAAAAGAAGCAGTGAGGGGTAAAAAGGCATCCTTTAAAAAGTGGAAGTTAAATCCTAATGAGGAAAATAGAAAGGAGCATAAACTCTGGCAAGTGAAGTGTAAAAATATAATTAGGAAGGCCAAAAAAGAATTTGAAGAACAGCTAGCCAAAGACTCAAAAAGTAATAGCAAAAAAAATTAAGTACATCAGAAGCAGGAAGCCTGCTAAACAACCAGTTGAGCCACTGGATGATCATAAGAACGGCCATACTGGGTCAGACCAAAAGTCCATCTAGCCCAGTATCCTGTCTTCCGAAAGTGGCCAATGCCAGGTGCCCCCTGAGATGCTGAAGGAGCACTCAAGGACAATAAGGCCATTGAGGAGAAACTAAATGAATTCTTTGCATCAGTCTTCACGGCTGAGGATGTGAGGGAGATTCCCAAACCCGAGCCATTCTTTTAGGTGACAAGTCTGAGGAACTGTCCCAGATTGAGGCGTCAGAGGTGGGTTTGGAACAAATTAGTAAACTAAAGAGTAATAAGTCACCAGGACCAGATGGTATTCACCCTAGAGTTCTGAAAGAACTAAAATGTGAAATTTCACAACTACTAACTGTGGTTTGTAACCTATCATTTAAGTCCGCTTCTATACCAAATGACTGGAGGATAGCTAATGCAACACCAATTTTTAAAAAGGGCTCCAGAGGTGATCCCGGCAATTACAGGCCAATAAGCCTGACTTCAGTACCGGGCAAACGGGTTGAAACTATAGTGAAGAACAAGTTTGTCAGATACATAGATGAACATAATTTGTTGGGGAAGAGTCAACATGGTTTTTGTAAAGGGAAATCATGCCTCACCAATCTACTAGCATTGTTTGAGGGGGTCAACATGCATGTGGATAAGTGAGATCCAGTGGATAGAGCGTACTTAGATTTTCAGAAAGCCTTTAACAAGATCCCTCACCAAAGGCTCTTAAGCAAAGTAAGCTGTCATCAGGGCCAGCTCCAGCATTTCTGCCGCCCCAAGCAAAAAAAAGCCGCGATCGCGATCGGCGGCGGCAATTGGAAAAAAAAAAAGCCACGATCGGCGGCAGCAGTTCAGCGGCAGGTCCTTCGCTCCTAGAGGGAGTGAGGGACCTGCCGCCCCCGAATTGCCGCAGGTGCCTCCCCTCTCCCTTGGCCGCCCCAAGCACCTGCTTGTTAAGCTGGTGCCTGGAGCCGGCCCTGGCTGTCATGGGATAAGAGGGAATATCCTCTCATGGATTGGTAACTGGTTAAAAGATAGGAAAAAAAGGGTAGGAAAAAATGGTCAGTTTTCAGAATGGAAAGAGGTAAATAGTGGTGTCCCCCAGGGGTCTGTACTGGGACCAGAACTATTCAACGTATTCATAAATGCTCTGGAAAAAGGAGTAAACAATGAGGTGGCAAAATTTGCAGATATAAAACTACCCAAGATAGTCTGCCTGGGACTTAATTGTGAAGACCTACAAAAGGATCTCTCAAAAATGGATGACCCGGCAACAAAATGGCAGATGAAATTCAATACTGATAAATGCAAAGTATTGCACATTGGAAAATATAATCCCAATTATACCTATAAAATTATGGGGTCTAAATTAGCTGTTACCACTCAAAGATCTTGGAGTCATTGTGGATAGTTCTCTGAAAACATCCACTCAATGTGCAACAGCAGTCAAAAAAGTGAACAAAATGTTGGGAATCATTCAGAAAGGGATAGATAATAAAACAGAAAATATCATATTGCCTCCATATAAATCCATGGTACACCCCCATCTTGAATACGGCGTGCAGATGTGGTCACCCCATCTCAAAAAAATATATTGGAATTGGAAAAGGTTCAGAAAAGGGCAACAAAAGTGATTAGGGGTATAGAACGGCTTCCATATGAGGAGACTGGGACTTTTCAGCTTGAAAAAGACTACTAAGGGAGGATATGATTGAGGTCTATAAAATCATGACTGGTGTGGAGAAAGTAAATAAGGAAGTGTTATTTACTCCTTCTCATAACACAAGAACTAGGGGCCACCAAATGAAATTAATAGGCAGCAGGTTTAAAACAAAAGGAAATATTTCTTCACACAACGCAGTGTCAACCTGTAGAACTCCTTGCCAGAGGATGTTGTGAAGGCCAAGACTAAAGCAGGGTTCAAAAAGAACTAATTAAATTCATGGAGTATAGGTCCATCAGTGGCTATTAGCCAGGATGGTTAGGGATGGTGTCCCTAGCCTCTGTTTGCCAGAAGCTGGAAATGGGCGACAGGGAATGGATCACTTGATGAATACCTGTCCTGTGCATTCCCTCTGGGGCACCTGGCATTAGGCACTGTCAGAAGACAGGATACTGGGCTAGGTGGACCTTTGGTCTGACCCACTATGGCTGTTATGTACATTGCATATAGAGCAAAGGGTTAAGAGAATGAAGTCCTATATGCATATTTTCCCTTACCTACACCTTAATCTTTCTTTAAAAATGTTGGTGTATTCCATCTAGCCCAGTTATCTCCATCTCTGGATTGAGGGAAGCAAACTGTCCTGCTCACAGCAGGCTGTCTCTGTATCTCTCCTGGCACACTGGTTAGCTGTCACTGACACTCCCTGGACAGCCTCCTTTAGGTCAACATCTTTAAGACTGGAGTGTCCCCTTTGACTCTAGGCGTAACTTTAGGAAGATAAACTGTTCTTTACCTGGTTCCATCCAGGATGAGGGAATTCCTTACTAAACAGCTTCCCTGTTTCCTCTAGGACTCTTAACTGTGTCACTGTTTTGCCTTCCCTGCCTGGTTCCTTTATCAGGCTTTTGACTTACCTCCATGCATTCGGGCAGGAAAATATCACAAGTAATCTGAGACATGTAATATTCATAAAAAATTATACACAAAATCCTAGTGTGGAGAATGAGGTAGTTAATATAATACATAAATCAGATTCAGACAGTCCATTAAAGAAAACCACGTAAGTGTTAAGATTGAACACTTACAGACAACCTTAGCTCCGCCACCTTTTGCATATGCCTTCCTTTTAGTCTTTGATTAGATGATCATATAACCTACTTTAAATATGACAATGCAATATTCAGGATTGTTTCCTGCAACCTTAGACAATATTGCAAGACTACATGGGTCTAGGCCAATCAGCCCATTAGAGTCATTTAATTAAAGTATTATAAGAAAGGATAGTACAAAGTAGAATGATACAGAAAAATATGTAATGCAGTGGTAAGAGCTACTGATTTTCTTGCACCAGGGTGAAAAGGTAGGTATGCTCTTTAGAGGACCAGATTTCATGCATATGAAAGGAAGGGAAAGAAAAAAGTAATCACTGAAGTTGAATAGCTTTGCCCAATGCTGCACAAACGGTGTGTGCACAGAGGTTTATAGCAGCTGTCACTGCAGTTTCTTTGTAGATAGTGATTGAGGACTAAGTGTCACTTTAAATAGAAGTGCCTACTTCTCACCTCTCCTGATCACACTTGCTACATATTACTCCTGCCTTGAAAAAGTATGTCTCTGGTGAGCTCTGAGTTGGGCTTGGCCTCTTCAGAGTTTGACTTGTCGGAGTGCAGCATAGAGTGCTGGCTCCCAGTACCAGCAGCCTAGAAATGTAAAGCGTTTGTTTGGCTATTCTTGCCTCTGCCGAATAACTTTAGAAAGACGTTTTAGAGAAAATTAAAATATTTTATTTTTTTCATCCACAAAGAATGTTTTGGCTCTTTACAATTGTAAAATAAAGTAATCACTCAGTCATACTATACAGCATATTTCACTCAATGGTGACAGCAAAACTTCCTTTTCCACAAAGCTACAAAGTATAGTAATGTGACATAGAACACTACATATTTTCCCAGCTTTAAAGGACAGAAAAAGTGAGGGGGGAAACAAGTTCGGGGGAGGAGACTAGGGTGCAAGATACACCTAATCAAAGGGCAATGGGTTTGATTGTATGCCACAGTAAATATATATCCCCACACCCAAAAATACCCACCCAACAATTTAAGTCGACAACAGCCATGGCCATCGCTGCCCAAATGCCTCTGAATCTGCTTTGGGATAAGATTTCAGCAGCAACACCACCACACACCTGAAAAGCAAGAAAGGGAGAAAAGAAAGTTAGAGACAGATTCCCCTGCTGACCATAACCTCCAGACTGTTGCCAAAGAATACTTAAGGCCCTCACCATCCCTCAACAATTTACCCTTATGTGGGAGTAGATCTCCCAATTATCCCCTCCAACCCATGACCCATTAGACAAAGACAGATTGTCTTGATTTAACTTGTTATCTACAGCCATCAAAGGGATGGCTGGGCTTATCCACAAAAGTCTAGGAGGCAGGTCTAGAAGAGATCAAAGAGAAAATGAAGCAGTATTGCAATCTATGCTGCATGTTGGGGGAGGGGGATTCCTGCCTGGAATGGATGGAACAGTATTAAGTTTTTGGACCATATCACTCATGCTGACAGAAGCGTATTGGGCAATGGTAAGACAGCAAGTGAGCATCTGTAATAATACAGTACAGATGAAAGGGCAGAAAGTTTTTAAACAATCACCAATTTTAGGAAATTCCTTGCAAGTGAACAATTAAGTGGTGTTCATTTACCAAATACAGTAACAAGTCCACTGTAGTACATGGGAAAAAATAAAGTTACTTTATATGTTTCCAGTGTAATCTTAACACGTTACTAAGAGGATATTTAAGACATACTCTTCAACTGTCTATTGTGTGTGCAGAATACCTTTAAAATAAAATAGGCTGGTACGTTAATAAGTATTTGTTTCTTAGTGCCTCTGCTCTAGTTCCTGCTAAGGGGTTCAGACACATGTGTCTGAATTTTTAGATGTTTTTGCAGATGAAGTTGTATATTGTGAGGCTATAAGTTAACATTTCCTCATTCTGAGGATGAGGATGTGGAGATTGTGCTACCTAATCTCTCCCCAACCACCCAGCCCCAAAAGAGATTTATCTGTTACACTCTCAACAAGCTTGACATATACTTACTTCTCTCCCTCTCCATACTGCTATGAAGTGAGAGGTTTTAGCAAAGCATTCTTCAGTGACAAGAACTTTGGCTTCAAGCCCAGCTAAGATATGGGTCAGCTCAGGGTGTGGGAGGGAATCTTCAGAGAGACTTCCTCAGCACTGTTCAAGGAAATGCTACTCCTCATAGCCTACAGGCAAGGCTTTAAATGAATCCAGATCTCAATCCTCATTGACACCTCTTCACTTCAATACAATAAGTTGTCAAAGGTGTAACAATTTACATGACTTTGCCTTGACTGTTCCTCAGCTGAAAATTTAGACAAGGAAAATTAATATTTAAAAGAATGCTCCATTGCTAGATTTAGTTTTTACTCATCACATATCAAGTGGCTAGTTCACATTAACAATTGCCTGTTATCTTTAGCTTTACACTGATTGTGACACTAAGGTTTGTCTACATATAAAAGGTTTGCAGACATAGCTATACCAGCAAACCCTCCTAGTTTAGACACAGCTTATACTGGTGAGAAAAAAAAAAGTATTTTTCCTGAAATAGCTTATATACAAGTTCTGTGTCAAAGAAGATGTACCAACAAAAGGACTTCTCACCAGCATTACTTCATCTACACTATATCTTTGGCTGGCACAGATAGGTAATTAAAAAAAATTACACCCCAATAGACTTAGTTATGCCAGCAAAACCTAAACATTAACTAGGTAGTCTAGTAATGAGGTTTATCTTCATCATCATATAGATCTATTGATACTTGAATTTATATGAACAGTATAGGCTCTCCCCCCTTGGAGCAGTGTGCATTTTCTTCTATTACTAATACACCTCTACCCCAATATAATGCTGTCCTCGGGAGCCAAAAAATCTTACTGCGTTATAGGTGAAACCGTGTTATATTGAACTTGCTTTCATCCACCGGAGCGTGCAGCCCCGTCCCCCCGGAGCGCTACTTTACCGCGTTATATCGGGTCGCGTTATATCGGGGTAGAGGTGTACTTATATTGGTATAGCCTCCTTAATGCATGCGGGACTTTTCTAGGTCTCCTGTCCACATGCTGTTAAATGTGGATCCTGGTGGGCAAGTGCTAGACAGCACTTCTCATGTGACTAAGTTCCCATCAACACCAGTAAAGGTTGCATGACCTGGCCCTATTTTTAAGAAGTTCCTGTTGCATAGTTCCAGGGCTGGCTCCAGGCACCAGCGCAGCAAGCAGGTGCTTGGGGCAGCCAATGGAAAGGGGCGGCACGTCCGGCTCTTCGGTGGCAATTCAGTGGCGGCTGCCACCGAATTATGAAGCGGCGGCAGAGCTGCCGCCAATCGCGGGTTTTTTTGTTTTTTTGCGGGTTTTTTTGCGCCGCTTGGGGCAGCATGCTGGAGCCGGCCCTGTATAGTTCCGATAAAATGCTGTGTGTCAAATGGATAAAACCCTCCATTTCTGCTGGGCTCACAGGCCTAGCTCACAACCACCTGCCCTGTAATTCCCACCACCCACTTTGGTGTTCCTAACAAGTTTCAGTGGTAAATACAACACTACTTAGTTGCGATAGGATTTCTTTTATGTTAGCAATTTCTTCCCTTCATGTTAAGATGCATAATGTAAACTGAATGTTGTGTTTGTCTGAGCTTAATACTTCCATTTTGTACATGTTGTTGGGAGGTAAACAAGGCAACAGTCAAAGCCAGCTCTTTACTGAAACTTTTTTTAATTAAGAGAATGTCTTACCATGCTCAATGAAATCCAGAAGATTTCAATGCAGTTCCCTGAAAAAGAGAAAGCAGCCTTTAAAGCTAGTCTTTAGCTAAATAGAAGTCTAACTGTGAAGGAACTATTACCAGCATAGTTATAATTCTACATGTTTAGTTAAATAAATAAATACTTAACTGGTCAATTGTTGCCTGGAATCCTTTTGTGCTTGTATCTCTTGAGTTAGAGGTCATATTTTTAAAAGAGTGCACTGGAGATTTGAAATTGGAATCTGAGGACAACCTACAGCTTGACTCTAAGAAGTCTGAATGCACCAACACATTCCAGTGGAGTGGTTGAGGTAAAGTTCAGTTATCAAGTGTGACAAAGCAGTCAACAGCAATCCAAAGTTACATGGAGAGCAAACTAAACAACAGAGTATTTGGCATATGTTTCTGACTCATTACAATACTCAATGAAAAAAGAAAAACCAGACGTTTGACTAAGCAGCTTTAAAGTTAGATAGCTTTTCAGTGTAGATGAAATGCAAAATGACTTCTATGGCAAGTGTCTGAATACTAGGATGACCAAATTTACACTTAGTTTCCAAAAGTCTGATATCGTCAATATTTACGCATGGGCCTTTATGAATCACTCTGTATTATGTAGCTAATAAGCCAAATGGGCACCAAAAATGCCAATTTCAAGTAATCGTTTAAGATAGCACACACTTCCATTCCTTTCATCCTGACCCTCTCTTATTCTACTTCTCATCTCTCCTATATGGATGTTCCAAACTTTATTCAGACTCTTAGTACTTGGATTATAAACTCTTCAGGGCAGGAACTGCGTTACATGACCATACACCTACCTCAATGGCGATATGATCTGGGCCTCACAGATGCTACTACATTACAAATAAGCCTTCTGTCTCACATTATAACCATTATTTGTAACTTTTTCTAAACACTAAAATCTGCCACTGTCCAGTCCTTCAAGCCACCCACTTGCCCTTTACACACAAACTACTGTCCCATCTCTAACCTTTTTTCAAAGTATCAACTCTCATATGAAGTTATCCTTGAACAGTTTCCTCTCAGTCATGGAAGCTACTCCTCTCCACATGATATATGACCTCTGCCTTTGAAGATAGCTCTGTCTTTAAAGAAGGCTCTTTCCATCTAATTTTCCTTTCCCTCAGCCTTGGACATGAATCACCATTCCATCTTCCTACATTAGTTCTATTCTAACTATGGAGGTCTAAGAGGGACAAGTCCTCTTCTGGCATAGTTCTTCTGCTGTTTCTAGATAAACATATCTCTGCATAAAGATACTTTATAGACAGTCCATGTGACTGCTTCCTAGGTCCCCTGCCTTTTTTTTTTTTAAATCTACAGTTACCTTCTCCCACTCATCTTATCACACCCACTCATCTTATCATGAATAACTGTATGGGTTGATGTAAAGGATGTACAAGTTTTTCACCAACTGAACAAAATGCCCAGTTTCAGAGACATGTTTACACAAACCCACTCACTGCCTTTGGAAAAAAAAAATCAATTAAACAGTGTCAAACCACATATGGTTTCCAAGTATTCAAGAGCAACTCAAAGGCCTCCATTTAGATTTTTTCTGAGGTACAGCAAATGAAAGGAAATGTAGCTGGTGAAGACAGGTATGTCAATTATATTCACAAATCTAGCCTAGCAAATAGTACAAAATGCCCAATGCCACAAAACAAAATTTTCATAATTGAGTGCCCTAACTTATGGTAAGAATGTACCTATGGATTTAGGCTTCTAAATAAAAAGAGTAGCACATTTATTCAGAGGTGCTTAGGACCAATAACGTCTGTTGACTTCAAATGGAGCTACAGATGCTTAGCACTTTTGAAAAAGCATCTAAATCTTATTGTAGATAGTGGATGCCTACTGTAATTTCAGACACACAAGTTTGTCCTAGTATTTTAGTTAATGTAATGTCTGGCTACTTCACATCCACATCCTGATAGTCAGGAACCCTGAAGTATGGTTAGGTACTAAGCAAAGGGAGTACTGCATGTTTAGAATAGCAATCCAGCCTCAGCCACACACAGTTCAGAAAACTATGGTACAACATACAGCCTAGAAGCTGCCAAACAAAAAAGTCACACTATCCTAAGTGAGTTGATGGCTGTACATACCCAGCCCATTAATGGTAGAAAATAAACAGTTAAAAAAATATTCACCACTCTTCATACCAGAAGGAAACGTGTCAGCCCAATAACTCCATCTCTGTGCAGTCTTGCAGAGACATTCTAAAAGTTAACCTACAAAACAGAACTGACCACACCTGTATATCTAACTAGGCAGATAAGAGATCCAGGAGAGTAAAGTCTTTCAAATCCATTTCAGATAGATTCAGCCATCCTCTGAAAAAGCAAAGGATACACAGCCTGAGCTCCAGATCCCAGATTTTGAGATCGTGTCAGTTCTGGCACATGTACACTGTAGGTGGAAGGTGTAATTCCCAGCACAGGCAAACAGACCTGTGCTAGCTCAGCTTGAGCTAGTGCGCTAAGTACAGCAATGAGAATGTTCTGGCACCAGCAGCAGCTTGGGCTAATCGCCCAGATCAAAGCAACCCTGTGGGACCAAGCTCAGGCAGCTAGCCTGTGTCACAACCACCAAACTGCTATTTTAGTCCACTAGCTTGAGGTGAGCTAATATGAGTCTATCTACCCCATGGTAGGACTCACACCTCCCAGCTGTAGTGCAGACATACCTCTAGTTTAGTGTCATCCTGGACTACGGTGACCAGATAGCAAGTGTGAAAAAATTGGAACGGAGGTGGGGGTAATAGGTGCCTATATAAGACAAAGCCCCAAATATGAGGATTTTCCCTATAACAATCAGAACATCCAGTCACCCTATCCTGGGCTGCTACAAAAGCTGCCATAAGGAAGTTAGCAAAAGTAAAATATGCACTGAAAAGCCAGAACTGAAAAGACCAAGAAAGTGAACGAACATGTGAGCAACAGCATCTGACCCACAGGAAGGGGCGTAAGACACGTGCACCTAGGAAGAGAGAAACAGAGGCCTAAGGCTATGGGAGAGAGCTCTCCAACTGGCATAATTAAACCACCCCCAACCAGCAGCAGTAGCTAGGTCAGTAGGAGAGTGTCTCCCCCCGACATAGCGCTGTCCACACTGGCACTTTTGTTGGGAAAACTTATATTAGTCAGGGGTGTGTTTTTCTCACACCCCTAATCGAGAAGTTTTTCTGACAGAAGTGCTAGTGTAGACAAAGCCTAAATCCACTCATGTCCTCCACATGTCCTGCCCACCCGACAGCAGAGAAGTAGTTGACACTTCCTTTTTACAAGGAGCCCAGCAGGTGACCAGTTCACCCAAAACATGGCCTATATTGGTATAAAATAGTAGCCAGAGCCAGGAGGCACACTAATTCAGTATACATTACTACTAGGCCTCCATGGAACATCTACAGGAAAACAAGGCTTCCCATTTACAGGTATAAGAAGGGAAGGAGGGCAGCAGTGGAAACCCTTGCCAGCTTCCCCTGGGATTGCATCTCCATTGTACCAGTGAAGCAGTTTGTGCTAATAAAAGGTGCAATTGAGCACAGGGAATGAATATAGCCCAATTCTCATTTTCCATTCAATAATCAATGGAGAGAAGGCCTGCACGCGCACTCTTTACATTGATCGTAGTCACAGATTTTCCCAGAGACTGGTGGAAACAGACATCAGCCCTCCTACTCTTTCTCCTATCATCATGTTATCCTGAGAGGTCCAGCCACTCAGAGTAGGCTCAAATAGGCTGTTCAGCTATGCTGAAAGAATTTGTATTTACTCTTATCATATATAAAGAAAGGAAAGTAACATGCCAATACATACATTCCACTGTTAAAGGGTGATAGAGAAGTCTGCTTTTTAATCACACATTTATTCACCGGTCTACTTTAGTAGGGATATGCAACTGAACACTGTATTTTACTGATACCACAAATGGCATAACGAGTGTCCCAATCTGTGCGCTCTCAGAGGATTAGTATGATGTGTAGTGCAGTTATAGCTTACAAATCACTGCTATCATATGTAAGGTTATTGATTTAACTTCTAATTACTGATATGTAGTGTAGGTTTACTGATTTCACTTTTAGAGTACTGTTGTAATAATCCATCCTCCCTGCCCCCCTCTCCCCCCAAAAAACCTTGACACTATCATCTGGAGCTATATTTTGTAGCAGATAGAATTTCAGGGCTGGTATTCAGTATTCAAAATTGTAGGCTTGTTGCAGCCTTGATATCTGTTCAATGGCTCCTCATCCTCTTTTGAGCAAATAAGCTTGTTGCATCTTCTAAACTTTTCAGCTCCATGTCAGCATCCCCATACAACGTTACATCCCTACCCTTTTTCTAGACTTGAGCTTCCAAACTAAGTCCACTTTCTATAACCTGGGTGTTCTTGTACTCTTTCCTCCTCCAATGATTAATTGCTCATTGTTTCTTCTGCATGTACACCAATGCCCTCTTTCCATCGCCGGCAAAATACTCATCTCAGCCTTCAATCACTATTCTTTTGACTACTGCAGGAACCTCCTCAGTGTCTTCCCAAAGTCTCAGCACATATGGAATGCTGCAGCTATACAGCAAAGAATAGAGAGATAATCCTTCAACATCACCACTAAGTCACCACTTCAGAAGTACCTTAAAGAAAAAATAATACTCCCAATGGAATTTTATCTAACCTGCCTTTGAAGCCTTCTCTCTATAGCGCATCCAACCCAGCCATTTGCACCTGCTTTCTCTGGCATATCCATTTTCACCCCATCCAGGCAAGAACATTCTTCTCAGTTATTCCTGTCACCTATATAAGCCTTCCTTTATCTCTGCGATATCAACTCTGAGGTTAATTACTCTTCTCCCCCCTCCTTACCTATCTCTCTTAATTTCTCTGTTATCAAATGCTTTAATTCCAAAATGAGGTCTTCATGTGGCACAAATTACTGAAACAGTAGTATAGAGTCTGAATTCATTAAACCTGTAGATTTTTTTGTAGATCGAAAACTATGTTGATATAGATGAAGCAAGGTGCTTTAACAAATACCAAGGAATCATATACTCAGAGTTTTCAGTCAGCCTTTTTAAACCCATTAGCAACCTATCAACCAATTGCTAATTGTTTGGAGAAAACCAACATATGTCTACATTAAGACTTTCCATGAAGTCAAGTTGTCATACTGTTATATCCAACACTGACACCAGAAAGAGGGAGAAGTGTCTCGAAAGAAAGACAAGCTACCCAATGAAACCCCTCTCTGGGAGTTAATAGTAGGGTCATTATCACATCAAGATAAAACTTAAGTCTAATCTTTTGTTTATTATATGTTGTCTTCTAGTATTTCCACTCCTTGACACCTAGATAATTCCACAATATCTGGTCACTCCCATGCTCTCAAAATACCAAAAACTCATTAGGTTTATCAGATTTGGAGGATTAAATATAAATAAAACATTATGATTTTTTAAAAAGCCATACACTATAAACTGGTTTACCAAAACCTCTCTCTCATATAAAAGGATAAATGTGCTCATCCAGTATCTTTTCATACCTCATTGTCTGAACTCTGGCTGACCTAAAAAACATATGCATTCCTTAATTACCACAAACTTTGTTAAGCCACTGAAAACAGACTGCTATGTCAAACACAGTTATCTTCTCCCTGCTTACCATACATCCTGTAAGAGCCATCTTCTATTTTTAAAGACAAAGGAGAGCTCTGTTTTCAAATGTATTAAAACATATGTTTAATGGTTAAAAAAATACAATTTTGTTTAATGTTTTTTCAACAGTGCAAAATGTTGCATTTATCCCAGTTGGACAAGCACTAAAGGGAGCCATGTGACTGGATAACAACTCATAAGTGCTCCTGGTTTACAAGGGAATGAACCCCTTCCTGGGCCCAAAGTCAATAAGAATTTTGCCACTGAC